TTCGCTTTACATGCACTTCTACTAAACTGATATTTCTGACACATCAAAATTATACTTTCATAACAGTTAAACATGTAATTTGATAGATGGCGCTAGGGAGAACGAATATTAAACAGAAACATTGGTCTTTGGGATCGGTGGTGTTTTTTCCGGTAAAGCTCAACAATGGGTTATCTGAGCGCTGTCCAGTGGAATCAAACACTGAACTTTAGCTTTGTAAGTCCGTATACTTATCGCTGATCCAGAAAATATTGAAATGCTTAGTCTGACCGATAGAAATGGGGATCTAATAAGATAGTTTGAATTGAGAAAAATATTAGAAGCTGTGGGTACTACAGTATCACAGTACAGTACGACACTTTGCTATACAGTATTGAAGCTGTAGGTACTACAGTATGACACCTTGCTGTACAGTATTGAAGCTGTGGGTACTACGGTATCACAGGAAGCTGTGGGTACTTGCCACCGCTATGGATCGCCTACGCACATACTCAGCATCTTTTGTGAACGACTTTATATCTGAACAACTAAAGTTGTGTGTCTGTACAGGTGTGAACTTTATATCTGAAGTTGTGTGTCTGTACAGGTGTAAACTTTATAACTGAAGTTGTGTGTCTGTACAGGTGTAAACTTTATAACTATAAAGTTCACACCTGTACAGACACACAACTTCATCTGAACAACTGAAGTTTGTACAGGTTGATACTGGACTGCGTATTTTTATCACGATCTGTGTTTCCACTCAGTGGAATCTTTCAAGGCTTTCTTTGCTACACAAGCTTCTTGCAGCTTGTTGATCACTTAGATACTCCGTCCTAATCATCCAGGGTGTTATTTGTTCAATGTTGATCACTTAGATACTCCTTCCTAATCATCCAGGGTGTTATTTGTTCAATGTTGGTTACTTAGATACTCCTTCCTAATCATCCAGGGTGTTATTTGTTTAATGTTGGTTACTTAGATACTCCTTCCTAATCATCCAGGGTGTTATTTGTTCAATGTTGGTTACTTAGATACTCCTTCCTAATCATCCAGGGTGTTATTTGTTTAATGTTGGTTACTTAGATACTCCGTCCTAATCATCCAAGGTATTATTTGTTCAATGTTGATCACTTAGATACTCCGTCCTAATCATCCAGGGTGTTATTTGTCCAATGTTGGTTACTTAGATACTCCTTACTAACCATCCAGGGTGTTATTTGTCCAATGTTGGTTACTTAGATACTCCTTACTAACCATCCAGGGTGTTATTTGTTCAATGTTGGTTACTTATATATTTCTTCCTAATCATCCAGGGTGTTATTTGTTCAATGTTGATCAGTTAGATACTCCTGTTATCACAATCTTTGATCTAAACCGTGTAAGATACATCTACTTGAGAAGGTCAGTAGGTTCCGGGCACTTGTCATCCACTGTTGTCATAATCTTTGATCTAAACCTTGTAAGATACATCTACTTGAGAAGGTCAGTAGGTTCCGGGCACTTGTCATCCACTGTTATTATAATCTTTGATCTAAACCGTGTAAGATACATCTACTTGAGAAGGTCAGTAGGTTCCGGGCACTTGTCATCCACTGTTATTATAATCTTTGATCTAAACCGTGTAAGATACATCTACTTGAGAAGGTCAGTAGGTTCCGGACACTTGTCATCCACTGTTATCGTAATCTTTGATCTAAACCGTGTAAGATACATCTACTTGAGAAGGTCAGTAGGTTCCGGACACTTGTCATCCACTGTTATCATAATCTTTGATCTAAATCGTGTAAGATACATCTACTTGAGAAGGCCAGTAGGTTCCAGGTACTTGTCCTTATCGACAAACAAGTGGTAAGTTGTCACTCATCTAGTTCTAAAGAGATTTCTTTTCTAACAAAATAAATTATTTTTCAGTGTGAGTGTAGAAAAAAACAGACGCTCCCCATAAAGCAACTGGAAGCTGATAAACGGGAGTCAATATTATTAACGTTAATTTCTCCCAGTTCAAACTTAGCAAGACTGTGTGTCATACTCTTCCTTATAACGAGGACACGATTTGTGCAGAAATGTTAGCCACCTGGTGGATATCGAGAATACTACCAAAAACAAAATACACCGCGAGTTCTAGTCTGCTGTTGTATAAAACGCAGTAAGAGCGTGGCTGAATCCAGAAACATTAATATTCTACAGTAACAAATGTATTTTTCGTTGTACGGCATATTATATATACTATTTAAAACTTTAACTTTTGTTTAAACCAAAGGGTGGGTAAAATATTACTAAACAGAAAAACGGGTTATCCGTACTCTGCCCATCGTGGGTATCGAAGCCCGATTTTTAGCGTTATAAGACCCGAGACTTATAGGCCACCTAGTGGGGAGAAACTCGTGCATAAACTATTTACAGTGAGGTTATCGTTTATTATAAACGAATGTACAGGTCCATATTATAACGCCTTGAACTTTAGTTATTTTCCCGTTAGGATTATAAAGTGTACTCTCTTGGAAATTCGATAAAGTATTTATCCTAAGTCAACTCCTAAGTCAAACACAGAATAAATAAACCAGCCACAAAGTTTTATGATTTTCATTACTATGGCTGCTAAGAAGTCATATTATATTTGTAGCAAAACACGGGTTTTAGAAATTCGCATTATAACATTAGATACGTATTCTAATAGAAATAAAACTTGCCTTGTTCCTTGACTTCCCCTGTCCCAACCCTTTGAACACGCCTGCTAAAGCTGCCTTCATCCTAATTTTGAGGTTTTCGACGTCTCTTTTACAGTTGACGTTAGCACCTTCCGCCAGGCAGACAATATTAACACTAGAACCAGCCTTACTAACTCGTCTGCTAGGCCTGGTGTATCCTTTTTTTTTTTCGTGGATCTTGAAATAGAAACTTATTCACAATCTTCTGCTCCTCCCCGACAACCAGATAAAGATCTGTCTTGCGAAAAGCCGATGTAATATCTCCCGGGACACAACAACGGAGGAGAGTCAACAAGCATTACGATAACTACACGTGAAAACGTCCTATCTTTAGAACCTCTTTTTTGTTGTGCGGCAGAGTACGGGTGTTGTTTATGCCGATTTGCATGCCTGGCACGTTGAAGGACATCCACGTGCAAGGCACGAGAGAGAACCTCTGAGAGTGAACGTGTGAGGGGTCATCGTTGTGAAGGCCGTTGTAAGACCACGGACGACACCTGATTTCTCCCGTCGCTCTGATTACACTACCTTTACCTATCATGTACACAAGTGATCCAACAACTCCGAGCCAACATCACGACATATTCAATAACACCCTAATATATATATATACATACATTTCACAAATAGATCAATAATACACGTTGAAAAACAGATATTTTAATTTAAAAACCCGTGTTTAGTATTTCTATAGTGATAACACGTGTCAATAAAAACCTAAAGTAACCCAACAGGAAACTGAGAATATAGGTTACGTGTGCAATACGTGCAAGTTATATAAGGTCAATTAAAATCTAAACTACATACGTCACAAAATGACACAAGTCTAAATTTTCAGTCCTAATTGTTAGTCAATAATCTAACCAACAACATAGTTAGGGTTACAATCTACAGCACGTGTCAAAACTAAGAACGTTTCATGAGATGTTAAACATTTAACTTGAAGTATGTACCTAACCAACAACATAGTTAGGGATCTACAGTAGGTGTCAAAACTAGGAACGTTTCATGAGATGTTAAACATTTAACTTGAAGTATGTACCTAACCAACAACATAGTTAGGGTTACAATCTACACCACGTGTCAAAACTAAGAACGTTTCATGAGATGTTGAACATTTAACTTGAAGTATGTACCTAACCAACAACATAGTTAGGGTTACAATCTACACCACGTGTCAAAACTAAGAACGTTTCATGAGATGTTGAACATTTAACTTGAAGTATGTACATAACCAACAACATAGTTAGGGTTACAATCTACAGCACGTGTCAAAACTAGGAACGTTTATGTTTTGACTCTTAACCAAGCATGTACAGCAAAGTTGCCAAGCGCGTTCTAAAACTGACAGTAAACTACTGACCTACTATTCCATTACCTGCATTGAGCTTCTATCACTCCGACTGAAAACAGACCAAGGTTAGGTTTTCGCTCCTAGTTATCTCTTGCTTCTTCTCCTCTACCAAACTTTTAAACATTTCAAACTGCGAGAAGAAAGATAATTTTAGACAGCATAAAGTTCGTCCCTACTCAACTTTAAATCTGTCTTCTGTTTCAACCATAGCAGCTTAAGTTGAAAGTGACACATAAAAAGAAAAACAACGGTAAGTTAACACGCATGTCTTGCTGTAGGCATAGTTTAAGGCTTGTGTATGTTATGATTTGGACTCTAAACTTGTGTCGCTGTTGTATCGTTGTTCTTTCTGTTGTTTTTAAATCAAAACTCACATTATTCTCCGTTACAAACTAGTATTACCTCTGCTGTTCAGCCCTAGTTAAACTTAATACTGGTTTTTTGTTTTCGTAAAATCAACTACTGTATTGAAGAGGCTTAACTTTAAATAAGTTGTATGAACGTATATCGGGAACGATGTAACCTGCGTTCTAATACGAAACGTAGACAACAGACCTGCCGCTGTTCCTTCGCCAACGAAGGGATGGTTATGACGTAACATATTTTATAAACAGTTTTAATGAACTGGTGGTCTGGGAATTGACTCATATTTGAACTTTTTTTATTTGGAAATAAACCAAACAATCCTATCTTTCAGGACGTCTCTTCTTCCGCTCCCCACAACAACAAAGTGAAGGTCGTTTTGAAAGTGAATCACCACCATCATAATCAGGAATAACGCCGTTCTTGTATACACTTCGACATTCCACACACTTCCTCATTAATATATCGATTTTTGGAATCTGTACTTTAGTTTATTTCCTCTTCCTATGATGATCCACTGGAAGATTTCGTGGTGAGGATCGCATCCAGAGTTAATTCCTCTTCTTTAGTCGACGAATTGACATCCGGTTTGATCACTTCCGCCAATAACCAATAGGTTGTCCGAGATCGATTCCACACCTAGGCCATGTACTGAATGAACGCTGTTTATTTGAAATTACCTCGGGATTACCATTAATCTCTAGTATTTCCATTACATCGGGATTACCATTAATCTCTAGTATTTCCATTACATCGGGATTACCATTAATCTCTAGTATTTCCATTACATCGGGATTACCATTAATCTGTAATATTTCCATTACATCGGGATTACCATTAATCTGTAATGTTTCCATTACCTCGGGATTACCTTTAATCTGTAATATTTCCATTACCTCGGGATTACCTTTAATCTGTAATACTTCCATTACCTCGGGATTACCATTAACCTGTAATATTTCCATTACCTCGGGATTACCATTAATCTCCAGTATTTCCGTTACCTCGGGATTACCATTAACCTGTAATATTTCCATTACCTCGGGATTGCCATTAATCTGTAATGTTTCCATTACCTCGGGATTACCTTTAATCTGTAATACTTCCATTACCTCG